TTTCTAATGACGGAAACCTATCAAGTTATAAAGTTGATCAACTACCGTATGCACATGAGAAGGAAATATCAAAAGATGATGACCCTTTTGAGGAAGTGGACCAACTATTGGAGATCAATGACGACAATCAGATTATTAATTGCCCTTTCAAGGAGATGGAGCAGTTACTCGGAATGAATGACAATGATCCGATTGCTGACGTAGATGAGGCATTTGCCATGATGAATTCTTATTATTTGTCGGACCTACTTGATTAGATTCAATCGAAATAATTTTACTTTTGTTCTTTTATCTAGAATCGATTCTTTTTCTTTTTTTCTTTCAAGTTGTAAAGATCTTTTCAATGAGTAAAAATGAATAAAATTTTATTATCATTGATTATTAACTATTTTGGATTTATTTTTTAAATTGATTTTAACTATTTGAACATTTAAGTAAAATTTGGTACTCTAACACAATATTCAACTGCAACTCATTGTTGCTTGTTGGTGTGCATATGTAGAAGATGATGAATCACTTTTAACTAGAAAACAAAATACGTAATAGAAGGCAAGTCGATGGAAATCACATAAAGCTAAGCTTTCATTTATGTAGAGGCAAAATATATATAGAGCTCGTGGTCGATATAATTATGAGCAAGAAGCAGTTCTTAACCAAAATTCCAACAAATGAAATAATTTAAGCTCTACTTTGGAAATCCTACCGGCAACTGATAATTACAAATGTAGCAACTTGATTTTTTGTGGTCTATATATTATGCTCAATCATCTAGCCAACTGCTTCTAGCGCAGAGACATTCCAACTCTCAGCATGCCTAACAATCTGCGAACAAAATCATCTCATAGTGAACAATCATAAATGATGACATTCATGGTATACACAATAAATCCATTAAAGAGAAATAAAATTACTTGCGTATTTCTACAATACTCTAAACCAGGAGAAAACAGCTGACCTTGCTGCATTTCTGGAATACTCTAAAGGGAGTCATTAAGGCATAACACATAAGATAATTGAAAACAACTCAACTAGGTAATAAAAGTGCTCCTTTCTGACCTTGCATTTTCATTGACTTAACATGAAGTTTCGCACACCTATGGAAGCATTTTAGGCAGCCAGCATCTCTATCATAATTTTCAATCATTTTCAATGAAATTATTTTTCTGAATAACAATCATTAAAAATTTTCAATTTTAAAGTACCTCCAGGAGCAATCAGACAACAGCTAACTTAAATGGTTTTATGCAGTAAAATGTTTTAATTTTCTTTTTCTGTGAAATATGTTTTTCTACTATAAACTGGTTAGTACCTAAATAGATTTAGCTTGCAGTGTAAAGTAAGGGATAAGCTGCTGTTCACTGACAATAGAGTAACTTCAAATTCTAGCTCTTAAGCAACCTAATTTTCCTTGGGTTTTCAGACTAATTGGATCTTGCTGTGAATGCAAAACCATATATTTAATGTTGGTGAAGCACCTTAATCTCCAAGTTGCCAGCACAATGTTTGTTTCCACCTTGACACCTGCATATAAATGAAAATTATCTGCCACTATATATCCATAATTATTGAAATGAAATGGTTATTAACTGGGTAGACATAGATAACGACATTGGCTGCAACAAATGGTTCTTTCCCCTAAAAACATGCTAATTAGGAAATCTTTAAACATCTTAGTTTGAATCCAATTTTACAATAAAACATGAGCAGAAACCACTAAAAGTGGTTCACACTTGAGACCAAATAAATGGTAATAAGATAAAAGCACTTTTTCTAGCTAGAGCTCATATGCCAAATCCTTTCTTATCAACTTTAGGAGAAAAAAAATCTGTATATTATCCTCCTAAATTCTTTGTTCACTACCCAATTGGCCCAATGCTACCAAGACAAGCATGGAAACTTCCTGTGGATGGATGCATAGTGTAGTTTATTTTTTTGGAGTATGCTAACTTTTTGGGTTCTAAGCGGGAAGTTGAAGACAAGCAATGAATCATTGTTGCTATCAACAATTATAAATAGCTAAGCCTGGTGCAGTCGAGTGCTAAACCACCAATATAGATGCACTTATTTGAATTAGAAGAAGCTTTCAACTTTCTTTTACTCCAAACAACGTTGAAATGGAAGATAAGAGTGGTAAAATATGAGTGCAAGCAAGAGGACTTGTTTAACAAGCCCCCTTCACCCTGAAAGTCCATTTGCGAAGCACTCATCACCCTCTTAACACATTGAAGTTTGGACTCACAAATCACCTTTGCCTCCGTCTCATCCTTATCCGCCATTGCAAGCCTTGTTCTGCCCATATTGCATTGACCATCTCCATCTTCTCTTAGGTTTTTATATTTCTAACAGTATTACATATAATGATTATATCAAGGAAAAATCTTTTAACGTGATCCAATAACTTTCTGAATTTAGCAACTATTCTTAAAAGCTTAAGCTCAAATTATTGGAAATAAGTGATTTCACCTGTTATTATGATTTTTTATCAAGAACAATATTGATATATAACAAAGACCGGATATCACAATAAATGAATATATACAAAAGAGTCACTTCATTTTTTTTTATCCAAGAGAAAATATTATGACCCAAATCAAAGATCTTTACTCAAACTCCATCTCCTTATTATCACTCGAGTTACATTCAAATGACAATCACTTCGAATTTTATACATACATATATTTGCTCAGACAAAATATAAGTTGCATTAATAAACTGCATAAAGCAGTAATATTCACAAGCACTACATGGTGCCTATAAAAGCCACTAGCACATACAAGTGTAGACAGTACGCTTTTGCTAGTAGACGTGAATCACATAGGCTAAACAACGTTTATAACAAAACTGAAAAGCTTGTAGTTAAAAGAGATGCTTAAGAACTTGAGAGCCACCAAAAACTTGAGAGCTGCAACCATGCTGAAACATCAAATTCTTGTCTACTCCATGCTTAGAGGTTTCCTTCTTGTAAAGTGTGTAAATTAGTGACACCACCAAGTGCTTGCAAAAATTTTCTGGACCCGTAAAGTGATTCCTCACCATTCTAGTTTTATGGAGCTTCCCATTCCCCTGATATTCCAACATAGAGTGCACCTTGTTTCAAGAAGATATGGTCATTCAGCAGCAGAACAGAATAATGAAGCCCAACAATCATGCAGCCATTTCCCACACACAATGACATTCACACAACAAAATCATCATCAACAGCCATGATTATAACTCTATATCTGTAGCTTATATACTGAATCAGGTAGAGCTATTTGAATAGTTAAAACTTCAAAAACTTCACTGGTGGCAACACTCATGATACTCTCATTCAAACATGATTCTATGAAAAATCCTAGAGCCTTCATTGTAAATTCTCACTTAAATCTATATATTTTTTTTATTTATATCAACTAAGCCCTCAAAACTTATTATTTGATGTTAATTTGGATGGAAATAATCATACATGCTTATTTTTGCACATGATAATTTTGGTGGGTGCATATGCTGCAGATATATGGCCTTGGCAAGAGGGTATGGATGGGGAAAATGGACCAGGAGGAAGCAAAGGAAGAGCCAATGCAATGCTTCAAGACTCTGGAAGGAGAGCTTGAGGACAAGCTCTACTTTGGGGGAGAAGGCATTGGGTTCGTGGATGTGGGACTCGTGCCCTTCACCCCTGGTGGAAACTTAGCATAGAGGCAGGGTGCCCCAAGCTTCCTACATGGGCCAAAAGGTGCAAAGAAAAGGAGAGCATATCTAAAGCACTCTCTCATCCACACAAGATTTATGGTTTCTTTTTGAAGCACAAGGAGAAACTTGAATTAAACTAATTCCTACAAGAATAAAACAAACCAATTTCACTTTGATATAACTCCTTCAAACTGTTGTAAGCGAGCTAAAAATTAAAAAAAAAAAAAGGTCCCAAATCCCAATAAACCATGCCTTGGATGCAGCTTTGCTAATCTAAGAGCATATAGGCTGAATATACAGTTCTCTTTAAGCTAAATGTATCATTATGTTTCTTTGATTGTGAACGGTAAACGTAAGTGGCTTTCATTGTGTTTCTTGGTACTATTATCTTACATCTTTTCACTTCAAACTGAAAAGGTAAAATTTGAGCAAAAAAACAAAAAAACTGGAAAGGTAAAAATATTCTTCCTCCAATTAACCTAACATTGTTTAGAAAGCATGACAGTGCACTTGCACTACTGGTCTGCTGTTAATGACATCAAAATGCAAACTTTTGTTTTTTAAAAAGCAAGAAACTAATTAATACTATAAAATAACCTAAATAATCTAAAATATCCTAAACCAATATATAAGTATTACAATTGACAGCAAAAACTTATAACGAATAAAGAAATTAAAATCTTAAGTTATTTAGTCCCTTAGGGTAGCTTCTTTCCATCCTACAAGACAGAGACTTGAACATATTCTTTTGTAAACTAGATGGACACATTGTTAATCAAAATTAGACATGTTACATTGTTTTGCTTGTTATTTATAATTCCCACCACTGCTCACTCCACACACCTACAAGACTTGTAGAGATGTAAGGAGGGAATCAGGGAGGTTCACTGATAAGCCTGGTGTATACCACAGCTGCTCAAACAATAATTCATCTTATAAATTAAGCTAGGAAGGATATCCATGAGAAAGAATTGCAAACACAAATTTGCATTTAGTATGATAGAAATAGATTGTACAGATATATCTTAAAAATTTAGGAATTCGAATCACCTGGCGTGTGCTTTCTCTTCCAATACATAGTCAACACTTGCTCAATTTGAAGACTCATAAAGTCCAGCAACATTAATTAATCAAACCTGATATAAAGGAAGCAGTTACATCATTCATGGGGCAGCTAGACAACCAAGTATGATAAGAAAATTTTGACAATGCAACAGTTAAATGTCGGTATCATATTCTAAGGATGATAATGGTGATAATGATATCATCCACTTATATTTCCTTCTACACCATTTCAGCTACCATGACAATCCAATTAAATAGGAAAGAAAGCATGGAGAGATGGCTTTAATGTTTTGAGTTATATGCCAGTATCATGTCCTCTAACAACTAGAACTGTGGCACTTATGATGCATGGTTTTCAGCACGCTGAACTAAAGACTGACAACACCAAGAAAACTAAAAGTAAGATTCAGTTGCATCAACATGTCTTTGCAACTTGACCTCTATAGGTCCTGCCAATGGGAGCTGTGTAAAGCAAATTTAAATATAAATTCTACTAAAACGATCCCAAACTCAAAAGCTATAACCTACGGAGAGAAGCTCACTTGCACAGCCTATATCACAACATTTCTCAGCAAAAGTTTTTACAGCTATAACTCACTAAAGGCAATTAGCTTAAAATGTAAATGATACAAAGCCATCTTCCATGTAAAGTATGGAAATGGCTCAATATGTGCAAAATGCACTTCAAAACTATGAGTAAAATCTACTATACAGTTTGTACAAATATATACATATGCATAAACTAAACGGCAAATAGACAGCAAACAAGTCATTTGTATCAGTCCAAACTCCAAACGTTTATGGAAGTATCTCAAGAATTCAAGAATTGGGGGCTATAGTTTCAATGCACCAGAAACCTCTTAAAACCAGATCAATCAAACTAAGAAGAGCGTGTGTGTGCGTGTGTGTATCCAGGCAGAAATAATATTTACCTATGCTCCTTTGAAAGCAGAGTCAAATATGACTTCAGCATAAGACCACTGGCAAGCTTCAAGTGGAAACCACTTTGTCTATACACCTGGACTTTTCCAGAGCTTCAAATAGAGTTAACAAGTCACCAAAATACTCCTTCCATGATCCCTAATAAAATGCCAATTTATCTGCTGTTTCAACAAATAAACCCTTTCCTTCCACCAATTAAAAAATAATTTGAAATATTTCATCGAGCTAACTAAATCAACATCTTAAGACAATACTAGCTAAAAGTTACCATCTATAATGCAAAATAAATCATTTATCCACCAACTAATGCTTGAACATATTATGTAGGAAAATTAGATGAACATAGACTTGAACATATTGTTTAGTAGAATTAATGAACATACCTTTTATCAAAATTTGACATGTTATTTGAACCCAAATAAAAAGACATGTTAGATCTTTTTTTTTTTTCTTGAAATAGATAATTCCTACCGCTGTTGACAACAAGCCCCTTCAAAACTTGAAAAGGGGAGAGAGGCAGAGAGAGGCTTATGTGTAAAGTTTAGGCAAATACCACAATTCATGCAATCATGCATTCATGCTTATACATTCAGCAAGAAACGATTTTACATGAAATACGAATTTCAATGACAAAGTTGCATTGAACTTAGCACAAAAGATTCTTTACATAAATCTCAAACATCAAATTGGAATTAGAGTCACCTGATTCGCATTTTCTCTTCCAACATAGGTAATACTTATTCAATTTCAAGAATACAAAGCTGGAGTAGCTCAGTTGGCTAGTGTGTGTGGCTCTTAACTACAAGGTGAAGGTTTAAGCCCTTCATCTAGTGTAATTACTTTATGTACCCAAAAAAAATTCCAAGAATCATACGAACAGCCAGAAATGGCAAAAATATCCTACCAGCAGCAATTGAACCAACCTGAACAAATAAAGGAGTCAGTTATATCATTCAAGGGCAGCAAAACCAACTGACAAAATAGAAGGAGAAAGTTATGATAATACAACAATTAACATAGGTATCTTGTTTAAGGACAGTGATGGTGATAAGTGAGGTGCGATCAGGTCATCTACTTGCATTTCTTTCCACACCATTTCATCTAGACTAGGAATCCAATTAAAAAGGGAAGAAAGTGGGGGGAGGTATCATTCAAGGGCAGCAAAACCAACCAACAAAAAGAAGAAGAAAGTTATGATAATACAACAATTAACGTAGGTATCTTGTTTAAGGACAGTAATAGTGCTAAGTCAGGTGCGATCATATCATCCACTTGCGTTTCTTTCCACACCGTTTCATCTAGACTAGAAATCCAATTAAAAAGGGAAGAAAGGGGGGGAAGGGATAGCTTTCACATTCAGAGGTATCCGTCAGCATCAAGACTTGTTTTAATAGACTCAATTTCAGTCCAACATATGATGCATGAATTTAAAGTTGACTGGAACAAGAACTGACAGCATCAAGAAAACAAGAACTGAGATCAGCTACGGTAACATAATTATGTGGCTTTGCAACTTGACCTTTGTAGAGCCAGCCCCATGCATACTGTACATAGCAAATTTTAATACAAAATGCTAATAAAAAGAACCTGATGTTCAAAGCGAGAACCTATCAAGTGAAGCTCACTTGCAAACCAGGCTATATCATAACAGTTGAGAGGCACACAAGTTTACAGCAAAATCATTATAGGCCAATGAGTTTTAACAATAAATGTGAGTACCAGCAGTAAACCAAAGCGATCTATTTTGCACAGAGCAAAGGCTTAATATGTGCATAGTGCACCTCATACCTATAAGTACAATTACTAAACAGCACATAGACAGCAAACCTAAGTCATTTCTCAAGAATTCAAACTTGAGCACTATGGTTATAATCCGCCGAAAACCTCCTAACATAGATAATCAAACAAAGCAGAGCATGAGATGCCCACAAAAGATAAATACACAAAATACTATAGTAAATACTTCTCTGGAAGAGAAAAATTTACCTGCAGAGCTCCGTTGAAAGCGACTTCAAATTGTTACTCCAGTCTAATATTCAAGACCTTGGGCATGACACAAAACAAAAACCACTTTTTTATGCACCTTGACTTCTTCAGAACTTCAAATCGAATTCAGAAGTCACCTCATTAATGCACTTTGTTTAAGAAGATCACTTCCTTCCACGATCTCCAGTAATAATTTTAAAGGAGGCCCTGTTATATTCAGAAAAGTGCAAATTCTCTGCTGTCTCAACAGATAACTTTTGTCTTTTCCACCTATCAAACAATGACCAAAATATAAAATTAAGCAAACAAAAATCATAATCTCAAGGCAGTACCAGATAAAATTAATACATACATATGTGTGTGTGTGTGCGCTTGTATGCGTTAAATCTTTTTGCCAGAAACAAATGCTTAGCTTGCATGTAGTCCATCAACCAATTAGACATAGTCCCATGAATAAACTCATTCACATGAATAAATCCAGAAACTTCAAGTAGTAAAGCATTTTATACCACAACACAGCAAACTTACTGAGAACTAAAAATATCCAGGCAAGGCAAAAGTGTAAACAGGGGATGCAAAGTTTCCATACAGGTAAATTGTTTAAAAAAAAAAAGGAAGTGAAACATAGCGAATAATGCAGTTCACTAGAAGGAATTTCAGCATCCTTTTCCATTTAGTGGGCAGAGCAACCAAAGGTATACCTATAGCAATCATTGTGGAATAATGCCAAAGTATCATTACCAAATAAAAAAAAAAAAACCCAACAGTACATATAGTTGGTGCCACAAGTCAAGAACATCAGATAATACTTGTTTTGTTACTAAATTTACAAATGAATGATGTTTGTCCACATTTCAATTAAATATTTAGGAAGCCAATTTCATCGTACTATAATTTGTTACAACTAAGAAAACTGGGGTGATAAGCAATAGAAGGACAAAATCACTACTGACCCAAAAAGAATAATTTGTTACCAGCACAAAGTGCCATTGTTAGCTGAAAACCATTTGACCACTGCAGCTACTACTGTTTCATTTAGAAGCTCTAATAAATAATGATAAAAATTGGATCAACAATATTAATATCACCAGCAGAATGTCAAATCAAGTTGTAAAATACTGCCTTGATTCCTAATGCAAAAGAAATGAATGCAATGGAAATTTACAAGAGACTCTTGCACACCTTACATCTGTAAGAATGTTAGCATTTCTACCGTAGCAGTCTTTCAAATGAAGCCACTTTCCATGTTTTGTTTGATGATCTTCACAAAGCCTGACTTATTTCATGAGTAGATTGATCTTCTCCATTTACTGACAACAGGTCCACTAACATGTTTGCTGTGGATGCATCAGTAGAAAATCCTTTACTAACCATTTCGTGAAGAATTTGCATAGCTCTCAACATATCATTGCTTTGAAGAAATCCCCGAATTGTAATATTGTAAGAGATGCTATTTGGCAAACAATCATCTACTTCCATCTTCCTAAAAAGGTCATATGCTTTTTCAGGGAATCCCTCGTTGCAAAGTCCCTTGATCATTATGTTATATGTCGGAAGGGTAGGCTGTAACCCAGTGACAAAGATGTTAGAAAATAGTTCCCATGCAACTTTATGTCGACCAGCTTCAATCATGCCATCAATTAGGATATTATAATGGACTATATAGGGTTCCATTCCACTGTTTTGCATTGCTTGAAATAATCTCAGTGCCTCATCAATTCGACCATGTTTGCATACGCCATCCAACAAAACTGAGTAAGTCATTGAATTTGGAACTTGACCACAGGAACACATATCCTCAAAGAGTTCTTGTGCATCCAAAAGCCTCCCTACTTGGAACATGCCACTCATAAGAGTGGTATATGTAGCAGTGTCAGGAGTTGGTCCTTTTTGAGTCATTTCATGAAAGAGTTTTAGTGCTTCATCTATCCTGTTAGTTTTGCAATATCCATTGATCATAATGTTGTAACTAAATACATTAGGCACACAACCACAAGTAAGCATCGAATCAAAAACCTTTCTCGCCTCATCCATTTCGTTCCGCAAACGATAACCATTTATCAATTCACTATACGTAACAACATTAGGCTGAATACCACTATGAGTCATTATTTCAACTATACCAAGAGCCTCAGAAACCTTCCCTTCTTTACAAAGTGCGTCGACCAATATATTGTAAGTGACAACATTTGGTTTCAAATTCTTACAATCCATTTCGTTGAATAATCTCATTGCATCATCCCACCGGCCTGAACTACACATTGCTCGAATTAATGAACTGTAAGTGACAACATCTGCTTGAATGCCTTTACCTTTCATTTCAGAAGCAAGGTCCAAAGCCTCGGTTATTAACTTATTCTTACAAAGGCTATCAACGACAGCACTAAAAGCTACAACGTCAGGCATGAAACCTCTTTCTTCCATTTTCCTCAACATTCTAACAGCACCACTAGTATCGCCTATTTTACAAAATCCATTCACTATAATCGTATAAATATACAAATCAGGTTGATACCCTGTTAGAACCATCTCATTAAACAATCTAGCTGCTTGAGCAACTTTATGTTCCATGCAAAACCCTTTAACCAAAGTAGAGAAAGTAACTAAATGCGGCTTATAACCAAGCTTTAACATTTTTCCCAAAACTGAAAACCCCAAATCCACGCGACGCAAATGACAAAAACAATTAATTAAAATGTTGAGAGTATAAGCATCATGGGTTATTCCTAACAATTCCATTTGTTTGCAAAGAGAAACAACAATGGCATAATGTTTCATTCCCACAATTGCCCCGAACAATTTATTGAATTCCACAATACAAGGCCTGGGAGAAGCATGAGCCATCTGATTAAACAAAGTGTGGGCATCAACAATATTATGAAACTCGTACTTCTTTCCATTTCCCTTGGCAGGTTTCTTAAACGTTTTAGTGCTAGCAATGCTACTAAAAGGAGAAGAAGAAGAAGAAGAAGACAACAAGTGAAAATAGAAGGGACACTTTTGTACATGAAGAACTGAATGAAGGTTACCCATTTGTTGAAGATGATAAAGAAATGCAGTTGTTTGCCACAGCTTCCACTTCATCGTCTGGTTTTTTTGGCTTCCAACTTGAAAATATGGCTCGGCAGCTTCGGTTTGTTGCAGTGAGGAGAAGCAAGGGTTTTGGGTTTTTCTGCTTCCAATTCACTGTTTCTCTTGCTTTGTTTTATTATTATTATTATTCTCATTATTATTTATGGATTAATATTTGATGGCCTGATATTGTTCTCTCAACTTTTCCACACAGCATCACTTTATTTTTCATTCAGTGATTTTAATTTTGTTTAGTAAAATTAATTTTTAAATTTAAAGAAATTAATTAATTTTAAATTTCAAAAATATTTTAATAATTTTATTAAATAATTGAATTATATTTACATCACTAAACAACTCAATAAGATATAGAAATCCAATCTTAACTATTGAGAACTCAATCCAACCTTTAACTTCATTTTATTCTAAAAGTGTTAATAGTTCAAAATTCTTATGCATTAAACTAACTCGTAAAACAAAATAAAGTAAAAAGAATTGCTATTTCGTAAAAATAAATAAAATATAAATAATTATTCTGCAGTGATTGAATGAGATTAATATTTTAATATTTAATTAGTAAAAATATTTTTAGAATAGTAAAAAATAGATAATAAAAAATAAAATACTTTTTATTATAATTTATGATTTTTAATATAAAATATTATTTTTTTAAATAATTTTTTAAAATTATTAATAATTTTTAATTAAAACTCTAACACTTTTTATTTATTTTTATTTTTATTTTATTTTTCTTTATTTTTATTTGTTAATATGTAAAATATTTATAATTTATAATTTATTTAAAGTATAAATAATTTATAATTAAACCTTTTAAAAATATTAATAATTTATAATTAATCTATTAATAATTTATTTCTATAATTATTTAGTTTCCAATTAAAATATTAATTTTTTAAAATTTATATACGATATTAATAATTGAGAATTAAAATATTAATAATTTACTTTTTAAATTTTATAATTTATAATTAAAATATTAATATTTTTTTATAAGTCATTTAGATATTGATAATTTATATTTTTTTATAAGTTAAATTAGTAATATTATAAAATGACTTAGGGTATTTTTTGTTATCCAAAAAATGCCCGTGAGTTTAATATAGAAAAATAGAGAGTTCCTCCCAAGCAAACCTGTGGTAAGGGGTCGAAGCAACACATATATTCTAATCTATTCATGACAATAGATAAAAGAGAGATTTGGAGTTGCACTTTGAGGCTTAAGCGTTTCAACCCAATTGCATTTAAAACTACATTCGCAAAGGATTTGCAAATGTATCTCGAGGTGGCCGATATAGAAATATGTCTCCAATGACATCTCTACTCTACTCCACTGCTTGCTTTTCAAAAATTATACAAGTACAATTTTATCAACCGTCAATTGGAATCCTTCCCTCTCCTTTTCTCACTTCATACAAAGTTAAGACCATATTCCCCTATACTATATTCATTTCCAAAACCACGGAAATAAATAAATATTAAGAATCTACGTGTGTTAGAAAGGAACAAGGGTCTCCACATTTCATGGCTTCAACCGCTGCTGCACTTCCTCAACTAGTTTGCTTCTGGGAATTACTTCCTCCTCGGTGGTTTCAATGTTCTTCAATTTCACAATCCCTTCGTTCAGCTCTCGCTCCCCCACGATAATCATCCAAGGGATCTTTGAGTTTATGGCATATTCAATGTGCTTCATCACCTTTTTATGTACCTTGTATTCTGCTTTAATATCTACATCCCAGAGCTCGCTAACCAGCTCCGCAGCTATGGATAGTTTATCCCCAAGGACAGCCACCAATACTTGGGTTTCTGTGGCTCGAACTGCCTGCCAATGCCCCCCAATATAAATTACATTTAGTGCTTCCCACAACATATGGAGTGCTGGTAGGATCCATTAGTTATTATAATCAATACTACTATGGGCACATATAATAATTATGAGAACCCCATAGTTAAAGCAGAATCAAAACTTAAGTCCAGCGCCCACCAGACTAAATTTATAAGGAATCAGAATAAATAATTCATTTAGCAAAAAGTTGAGGAAAATGAAAATGCAGAAAGGAAGAAGACAGTCTACCATTACCCAGGATAATTACACAACTCATTCAAGCTTGACCCATGGAGTGCTAGAGCTAGATGACCAGTCAGACTGGTACCCACTCAGGGCACGGCAGATTGAAGGAATAAACTTGGGTTGTATCCAATTAATAAACTTTGGTTGGCTTTAGCAGCAAGACGTTCAAACTACTGATTAATCCCAAAAAAAACTTATTTTGATATCCAATGACAAAATTATCCTTGCATTACAAGACTAACTTCATCATCAGATGAGTAAGAATAGACAGATAACTTTCTAACCTTTATCATTCTTTTGACATGACAATTGAAGCTTTCACCCAGTCAATATTTTTCTCAATTTGAAAATTCTCATAGACTCGAACATATTGCTTATCAAAATTAGATGAACATATTATTTACAAGATTAGATACATTGCACCATTTTTTGCTTGATATCTATAATTCCTACCACTCCTCACCCAATGCGCTTTTGAACTTAAAACGAAGCAAGCAGGCAACAGAGAGATGGAGAGTGGCTTAAGTCTGGCATATAACACAGCAGCTAAGACATAATTCATGTTTACACATACAGCTACAAAAGATTATCCATGAAATGAAAATTTCAACTACAAATTTGCACACAATATAACAGAAAAGATTCTATAGATATATTCTAAAAATGTAGGTTAGGAAAAAAAAAAGTCACCTGGTTCTGTGCCTTCTCTTCCATTATAGTCAATACTCGCTCAATTCCAAGACTCATACCAACAGCAGGCACCTGCTTTGTGCCAAAATTTCCTATCAGATTGTCATAACGTCCACCAGCACCAATTGATCCAACCTGAATATAATAAGTCAGTCATCAATCAAAAGGCGGTTAAACAACCAACACATTAAAAGAAGAGAGTTATGCCAATGCAATAATTAATGTAGGTGCCATATTTTAGGGATGAATGGTAATAAAGTGCGATGGGATTGTACCATCCACTTGCTTGCCTTTCCATAACATTTCAGCTAACAGTTGCATGTTTCAACAGGCCAAGCCTCAGTCCTAAGGTAAAATGCATGATTTTACAGCCCCTAAAACTAAGAACTGATAACACCAAGAAACATGTTACACGGCTTCACAAGTTGCACCTTCATTTATGTATGGCCTGCACCAAATGTGAAGGACACAACAAAATGTGACTATTAGAAGAACCTACTCTCCAAAAGCCAGAAGCTATTAAAAAAATAACATCGGGGAACCAAAGCCACTATCATGCAGAGGAAAAGACTAAACATGTGCAAAGTGCCCCTCAAACCAACTAGTAAGTCAAATCTACCAAATAGCAAATCTAAGTCATTTACATCAGTCCAAACTCCAAAATTCTATAAAAGTATCTAAAACAGTCAAACTTGAGCAATATGGCTAGAGCCTACCATAAAGCTCTTAACATACATTAATAAAAAAAAAGGATAGTAGTGAATTCCTGTGAAAGATATATAGGCAAACATTTGAAAACCCTCAGGCAGAAATAATATTTACCTGCACTCCTCCTTTGAAAGCAGCTTCAAATATGACTCCAGTATAGTAATCAAGACCTCTGGCAAGACTCAAATCAAAAACCACTTTGTCTATGCACCTCGACTTATCAAGAGCTTCAAATAAAACTGACAAGTCACCTAACGCTTCTTTAGAGGCATTGTGTTTAAGAAGCTCAGAACCCTCACTTCCTCCCATAATCTTCGATAATAATTCCAAAGGAGGTCCTCTTATCTTCACAAAAGTGCCAATTTTGTCTGCTGTCTCAACAGATAACCCCTTTTCTTCCACCTATCAATTAATAATTTGAAAGATATAATAATTCAAAATGAAACCATCATCTAAGACAATACTAACTAAAAATCAGGATATATGCAACATAAATCATTTATCCAGCACTAAAAGAAGGGAAACTTGACAAATTTCTAACTTTCCAACAACGCACTTTCCAGTAGAACATAATATAGGCATAAAAGACAACAACATACACACAGCCACAGGATTCTGCTTTCAGTAACTGGCACTCTTGCTCTAGGCACGGCAGAACAGAAGATGCATGAATGAACATTGAACAATATAGCTTGCATACAAAGTTTAGAAGTAATAAAATTTTTTTTGTTTTAAATGACAGCAATCAAAGGGACACAGTCTTGCATCCAATGTTACTGATCAACATTAAAAGGACTAACATGCATATTAGAGAAATCCCTATACCCATCAACTGCACTTGAGAAAATGAGTATTGAATTAAAAGTGTAAAAAATTTTGTTGCAAAAAAAAAAAAAACAGTTAGTACGATAAAAATTCGTAAATCAAGAATAAATAATTGAACAGTGGTATATTTATGTTTTTTTCTAAGAGCTGTAAGTGGAGGCATACAGATTTTGAGGCTTAGGTCCTTACCATTTCCTTTTTAACTTGCTCAAAGGATTGTTTGTCCAGTTTGTCAATACTTGAACAAATAGCTCTAAATTTTGCTGGCGGCACACCACAGATTTCCAGCACTCCATCCAGCAACTTTCGGTGGTTCAATTTTATCTGTCAAGAACAAATAAAAGGAAATTAACCAATTTAGAAAGCACTTGAAGCATCTTTAGAACCACAACATGAAAGTACAAGAGCAAAAAGCATAATGACACAATATGCCGGGATAATGTGACTTTGACATCAAGACTGCACACTAACTAGGGAAATTGAATGTGTAGACTGAACCAACCATACAGAAATTGAAAAAATGAAACATCAAATATAACTGCTATGCCATCATGATTTTAAGAAATTAGAATAATGCAAAATGTCAAATTCAGGTATAACAGCCAGTACAAGTGCATCTGCCAAAATTGCAAGTTTAGTATCACAACCAAACAACATGACAGGTAGCATTAATTACATCAAGAAACTGAATATGCCATACAGATAGGAATATAGTTACAACAATTTACCTCATAGTCCCCAATGTTTAGTGAATTGAGTACTTCAGACAAAATTCTAACAACCTCGAAGTCTGGTCCCATCTTTTCATATTGGCCAGCAATATCAAAATCACATTGATAAAATTCTCGATATCTTCCTTTAGATGGGTTATCCCTTCTCCAAACCTTATCTATGTGGTATCTTTTAAATGACGTGAGACCATTCATGGCCACATACCTCGAAAATGGAACGGTTAAATCATATCGTAGAGAACAAAGCTCTCCACCCTGTAAACAAACATTAACAATAAGTTAGTGCCCTTAACTAAATAAATAATCCATGCAGTTCTCTTAATGGAACAGCCAGAATCAACAAATGTCTAGATCGTTCATCAAATGAATTTTCTAAATAAAAAGTAAATGCAAAATGAAAATATGACTTCATTAGAATGGACCAATTCTGACTGACTAACCTGGTCTGCAAGATCATAAATCAACTTCGAATCCTCTCCATATTTTCCAGTAAGAGTCTCCTTCAATTCAAAAGCAGGAGTATCCAGAGCTGTGGCACAGTGCCTCTCGAAAACTTTTGTTATAATAGAGAAAGCTTTCTTTCTTATTGCCATTTGCTCTTTAGCAAAATCACGAGTACCCTAAAAACAAAAGCTAAGAACACTTAAACATTCTAGTTAAGAGTGACGCACAAGATGAAAGCATTATAGTGGTACTGAACCTTTTCTTTCTTGATGATTATAATATCAATGAAAATAAACCAACCAACAAGAAACTGCCCTACTTCTACTTTTAAACAAATTATGCCTACAGGTAAAAGAAAACAAGAATTATGGTTTAGCTTTTACCTTAGGAGTCTTGGGGATTCTTCTACTTTCATTGCTCTCCAAAATCTCCTTCATCGTCTTCAACAAACCATCAAACTCTGGGCTTTTTGGATCTAAAAATGATAAAAGATCCTCCACTACTTTGTCTAACCCTTCTCCCCTACTCATCATGCTACCCTTAAGCACCTCGACAATAAAACTAGTTCCCTTCCCCAACAAAATTTTCTTCTTCTTCTTCTTTTCCGCTTTCGCATTCCCTCCATCAGCCTCTCCTCCTTTCCCGCCACTCTTCTCACTTAAAGCCTCCCCACCTTCAAGCACGAAAAATGCAGTCACTGCCTCCCACGCAACAATTTTCCACACGATCCCCAAAACCAAATCCACCTCCTCCACCAACTTCAAATAATCTTTCTCAAGCCCTGCCTCCACAGCCAATTTGACCCCATTTCTCAAACTTTCCTCACTTAAACAATCCTTTTCAAAGTTTCCCTTTATACCCTCAATCCCAACTGAACCCAAATTCAATCTCACTCTTTCCAAACTACTCTCCCCTAAATTCCTCAATTCAAACCCCAAATGCAAAACTTTTCCCCCCAACTTATCTCCCGAGTTCGAAACCACCCGAATAACAGAATGCAAACTCCTAACAGCTTCCCTCACATTTCCATTAACAACAGGAATCTTAGAAAACGAATCAATGTTAATTTTATCATCACCTTTGTTAGAACTTGCAACCAACTTGGAGCCGTTGAGTAAGACTTTGATGTCGGTAGCGACTCCGATATCGTCTTTGGCGACGGACCCATCGCCAGAATCGGTTAAGTCGAAGGCTGATAAGTTGGCCCTTGCGGCCTCACAGGAGAGGGCAGCTACTGCCACGGCGATGGTGGATAAAGCTGAGGAGCTTTGGTCTAAAAGCTTGCATGTATCGAGTAATGTTGACATGGCGGATCCGTCTTCGTTTACGCCCGTGGGTTGGGGATTCTTTTGAGAAAGTAACAGTGAAATGCAACGGCGAAAAATGGAGAGTGTGATGTGAAGAAGGAGTCAGCTGTTAGGGTTTTCGTGGGATTTTCTTTTTTTTTTCTGTTTCTTTGAAATGCGTTAAAATGAAGCCAATGTAAATTTGTGAAAACATTTTCTTTTCACAACATTTTTGGAATATTTTAGAATAATTAAATGTGTTTTTATTTTTAATACAAATCCATCTTATAAACTTAATTACTCTTTTGTCAACAAAATTTCTTCTTGTACTATACAAAATTATACAAAAATATTGAGTTTAATTTTTTAATATAATTTATATAAATTGAATTTTTAAATTTTACAAGTAAAATTAAAAAATTAATAAATGTTTTTGAAGATATATATATAAATATTAATTAATTAATTAATTATTAAATGAACACGTATCAATTCTGTAAATTCCCTTGTAAAGTTTAAAAGTTCTATTATTACTGTAGAAAATGATAATTCAATAATTAAACAACCACTTTATTATATTTATTGTTATAATACTATATTATTAAAATATTTCTTTAATAACTTTATAAATAAAATTTAAATATTGAAGATTTAACAATAATATGCATTTTTCAAAAAAAGTTTAAGTTCCAACGTACCCATTGCCTTTCTCTTTTACTTAATTAATTAGAGTTCATGTTTTACATTTTTATGATAATATTATTTATATTTAGATAAAATATTCTAACATTTTAAAATTTTAATCATAATTCGACATGAGTCTATTAATTTTCGAAATTCATAATCTATTTCAAAAGAATATCTCTCACTAGATACATAAATATAAACGTTAATATTTTTATTAATTTAATGATATGATAATATTTTTAAAATAATATTACTGTTCATTAATTTTAAAATTTATTGCTATATAAATTATATTTTTTATTTTTTTTACAAAAATAAAAATTATCTCAATTTTACCACCTTGTGGTCGATGGTACTCCTTAGGAGAGCTCAATCTAGTTCTTCTTTCCCCTAAGATAGCAAATATTAAGGAAACACAATCTAGCAAAATTGTGCTCATCGATTAGATTTGGTCACGGGGTAGCTAGTAGACAAAAGGGAAGGTAGATAGATTTTTTTTTTATTTTAAAGAGTGGAGAAAAAATAAAAGTATTTATATATTTTACGTTTATCTATTAACGTCGTTTACATTTTAAAATAAACTGTTTATTTCGAAAATTAATAGACTCATGTGAAATTATAATTAAAATTTAAAAATGTTAAGTATTTTACTTTTTATTTTTTAATTTCTTTTCTCTATAAACTCACAATTTAGAATAAAAGAGTTATTATATCTTTTTCACACTTTTTTTTTCACTATTTACTTTATTTGCATAATCTATCATTTTATCATTTTTTTAGATCAAACTCTTTCTTAATCTTTTCATAAATTAAATGATTTAGTAAAAATTATTGATTGTAATGATAATATATCTATCTAATTTCAATAATATTTCAAATTTTTAATCTTATGATAAAAGTGTACATTATGAGTTATAATGATGTAATTTGATTAGATTGACATTCAAATTTTAACATGTTGACTTGGATTTATGATCGTAATTGTTTGAGTGATTATAATAAATTTTTAAAATATTATTATTTTATTTGTGTGATTGAATTAATATTGAAATTAAATACACATATAGTAGTTAAACTTCTAAATTTTGTGTGGTCTAATCAATGACTTTCACTACATCATATAAAAAAAGGGGGGAAATACATAATTCATATCAAAGCAGAAGGTCATCATCGGCAGATTCTAAAAACCTGTTGTACCTTTCTTTGTCTTTTCTTTCCCAAAGCTCAACTGCCCGAGGCTCTACTGTCTTTTTCATCAGCACTGTCTTCGATCTGCATCTCCTAAGAACTCTTCTTTTCATTATACTTAACTCTCTTGTACTTTCCATCTTGGAACATCATTGCACTCATCTCTTCCTTAAGTCCATCAATATTAGTGTCGAATTCTTGATCAAAACCATCAAGTTGAAGATAGTTCATCCAGTCATCCTCCATCTCTACAGTATCTTGTTTCTTCAATTCTTGGCATCCCTCGTCCCCATTGCAGATAAATTCCCCATCTTCAAGTTCATCGATCGAATCATACTCAATCAGCTTTGCAAGAAACCTCTCCTTCAAGTCACCTTCTTGCTTGAATTCTTCCACTTCTTCTTCTTCGCTGTCTACACTTTCACTGATCAAGGTAAATTCATTCTCTTCCCATTGACCAAAGCTAAAGTTAAATTGCATATCAAACTGATTCAACCACTTCTTCACATGATCTTTATCTTTCGTTAGCCCTGCACTCTTCACCTTCAACTGATCTTCACCTTGCTTCCCACATCCACTTTTCAGTACATGCTCATTAGCTTTGTCAAACCCCAAAGACAGTTCAGTGAACCCATTTCGTTTTATGATATCTTTTTCTACTTTCATTGCCTTGCTTTCCTCATAAAGACTTGTAAGAGGATCAAGATTGGCCCAAGTACGATCATCCAATTGACAATATTGTGATGTCATGAACTCATTCACCCTTCTCCTGACATTTCCTTGATCTTTCTTCAGTACTTCAATGTCTGCCCTGAATGCCTCATCGGTTTCATCTTCACCTGTTTTGCCATTCTTATGCGCCAAGTCAATCATCTTTTGATCTACTCGCTCAATGTAATAATTCAGTTCTGAAACAGTGATGATCTCAGGACTTATTTCGCCTTCATCGTCCTTTGTCATTAATATCCCAACAAAATGAACACCACAAACAACAAAACAGAGGAATTTTTAGAGGAAATATTAAGATTTTTAATGACAGCTTCATAGTTGTAGGCTATAACCAATCCTTCCAAAATCATTAGTGCAATCCACTCCTCTAGAAAATGCAAAAACTTATAGCCAACAAACATATTTGATCTTAAATCATTAGTGAACTACGCGAATTGTTTTTATAGGCATATTTAGTCTAAATCATTATTATAATATACACATCTTGAATTTGTAAAACTTATAATAAATATGCATATTTAATCTTAAATCATTAGTAAACTATATAGCCCTGTTGTAATATGCATATTTAATCTAAATCATTATTGTTATACACAACTGGAAATTGAAAAACTTATAACTAAAATGCATATTCTATCTTAAATTGTTGATGAACTACACGCGTCTTTTTAAGATACGTATTTAGTGTTATACACGTGTCTTGAAAATATAAAATTTACAATTAATATGCATATTTAATCTTAAATAATTAGTTCATAACACACGTTATTTTAGCATATATGCTTAATTTAAATCATTAGTGAATTATACGCGCGATTTAATTCACAGGTAAAAATACTTTTAGTGAATATCACATTCAATTTAAATCATTAATAATGAAGACGTATCATTTTAAATGCAAAATACAAATTATATTCAACAGAATCATAAATTAAGCAATCGAACTAATAACCAGTTCCAAACTATTAAAGTCAGGGAGTTTTCTCCTTGCAAGACAATATATATATATATATATATAGCAGTAAAGAAAAGAATGATATCAAGGCAAGAGGGTGGATTTAAGCCTGACCTCTTGTAGGCGTGCGTCAAACTCGTCTCAGCCACACTGTATGTAGCAGAATTTGCTTTGTTTTCGTCACTCTCCCCTCACAAAATTTGGGTGAATTTTCCAATAAAACTAAACCAATAATCCTCAATGAAAACTGGAACTAGGGTTTATAATGCCACTGGATGGCGAAAGAGGGAATTTGGCCATAACGGGAAATGATCGGAGAAATGAATGCAGAATCCAGAAGATTTTCATGATGTCAAACCTTTTTTTTAATCTTCAATTATGGTATTATATCTAACGTGGAGATTCATATTCAACTGCATGCTTATCCATCTTTCTCAATAGGTTTTTATTTATTTTCCTTCCATTTCTGTTGGTTTCATACACAGAAAAAGTTTTAATTTGTACCAAAACAAGAAACAAATTACCATGAAATCCAAGAATTTTTTGTTTTTGGTAAAGAAGGGAGAAACAAATGGTCTTTCCCCCCCAAAATTTGGCTATTGCCAGATTTGCAGAGAACAGGGAATTCATACCCCTTCCCCCCAAAAGAAAAAAAAAAAAGGAAAAAGGTAATGGAAGGATAAAAAATAAAAAATAGGGAATAAATATTGAAAATTAAAATTTAATTTCTAATTAAAACAAAATATTGTCTATTTTGGTTCATAAATAGTTTTTTTTAATCAATTTTGTGTTATATAAAAGTCGAAGAGATTATAAACAAATAGTAAGAGATGAAAGATTAAAAAAAATTATAATCAAATGAAACTAAAATTGTCAGTTGAATTTCTCCAAAATATAAGAACATAAATTTGACATTGTAATTATATTAAATATAAATGAACGTGCTATATTCAAAATGTCACACCATAATTTGTTTTTTTAGGTGAGTTTATCACACCATAACGTGCACGGCGTTTGATATGAGGTGATTACTCCAAAATTCATAAAGAAAAGACAATTATATATAAAAGATAATTAATTTTCAATTATAAATAATTGAAAATTTTGTAATATCGATCTATAAATGATTCAATCAATTAGGATTCAAAAAATTATTTTTAAAAAAAAATCATTCAATACTATTGGAATTCTTATTTCTAAATCAAATAAATCTTTTTCATATTTATAATAAAAATATTTTTAAGAAAAGTTATTCGATACAATTAAAGTTTTTATATATTTAAAAATTAGATAAACTTTATTAGTATTAATAATAAAAAAATTTAAAAATGGTAATTAAAAATATTTAACAACAAATATGACAAATTTTGTCAATAAAAAAATTTTTAACATTCACACTCATATATACATATATATATATATATATGTATGTATATATATAAAATAAATAATACGCGCACAGCTAAAGTTAAAAGAAATAGAAATGAAGGGAAAAACTAGCACATGCAAAATAAATAAAAGCAAACAATGAGATATATGTTGTTTGAAAAACATAAGAAATGATATGAAGTTGTCTTATTTAACAAATAAATGAGAAGTTGGTTGAATCTGATGCTTATAATTAATATAAACATTGTTTCTTCAAAAAGAAAAAGGTTAAGTTAAAAGAAAAAGATGTGATTACCATTAAACTGTTGATTCAGTGATGGACATGCATGTTAATATAATTGGCAAGAAGTTTGGTAAGCTTCTCAAGCTCTTGTTTCACTTGGGTATTTTCCAATGCCAGTTGGTGCAGGCCATGACCAGCTTGCGGTTCTGGGAGCAGTGGACTACCACAACATACACAAACCGTTTTAGCCAATGCCTCTCTCATTGCAAGGTTTTCATAAAGCAAACTTTCCTTGCTTGCTCGAAGAATTGAGTTCTCTGCTCGTTCCTTTCGAGCCTTGGTTTGAGTTCTTTTGTTTTGAAACCAAAACTTGATTTGTTTAGGTTCCAAACCAAGTTCCTTGCTCAACTCTCGTCTCTGGTTTTCGTCCGGGTGAGCACATGACTTGAAAAATGCTTCCAGGGTTTGTATTTGGTGAGTCGTGTGACGATGATATATCCTTCCTTTCTCGTGACAAGTCGAAGCTTTTTGCTCGTCATCTGAACTGCCAATATTTCCGCTTGCAATATCCATTTTCACTTATGTCAAACTAAAATGAATATGATTTGCAACCGTATAATGCATATGTTTATGTATGCACGCTCTTTTTAAGAGAAAATAATGTTGAATGCATGCATGCCAAGAAGATTGAATAAATCAAGAAGCATGATCAAGGAACGAGGGAGCGGCATTTAGTTTTTATGAGGAATTAATTAAGTGAAGGAGATAATATTATTTTATTTCATGGTATCCCTCTGACCCTTCCATATTAATCAAGCATGGGAGCATGCAGTGAAATAATAGTGATCAAGCAAACAAGTATAAATAGATCCCTTAAAAATAAGATATTTTCAAACATAATCTTCTTTATAATTTTAACTGTTTTTAATCAAATTATATCAGTTAGAAAGTTGATCAATTCTTTGTAATATGGACAATTATAATTTGATTAGATATATCAGTTGATCAATTCTTGATTAGATATATCAATTAACCAACAACTTCAAAACAATTATAGGGTACTAGCTGAAGTAACTGAATATCCTTTAAGACTAAGATATATCAGATTATCACACTAACTGTAAACAGATACTATATATTTCTTGGAAATGTTAACTGTTTTTCAGTGGTTAGTTAAACTGTCTCCCAGCTTGGCATCCTAGTTTTCGTGGTGCAAGTGATTGTTGAGTGGATTGGCTTTCAAAAATCTAGCTTCATCCTTCAATGGTGAAGTGACTTGCTAAAATTAACTAGAATGTATAAATTGTTCTTCAGGCTGATATCCAGTTATGCTAAATTTTACTTTCAGGCGTTTCCCTCTCATTACTTGAATTACTGAACAACACAAGCGGAACTAACATGGCCACGTTACATACTTTGGCAAGCGATGTGATGGAAAGGTCCTACTCTTATGCACTTAAAAGTGTCCATTCTACTCTAGTGACTCTCATAGTGTGCATTTGATAATTGGTTCAGGACAGGATCACATAAATTGCTGAATAGAGGCAGGCGTTTAGCAATGCTTATGCCCTGATTTGATGGGACTCATGACACATCAGCAACCATAAAACATAGTGCCTCCCTTTGCACAAATAAAGAAACATTGTTCTGATACTGTAGAAACTGGATCGATGGGATGTGGACCTAAAGCTTTGCCAAGCTCAGCCCAAATCGAGCCTGATCTGTGGTTTTGGACGAGTAATTCGCTCCATGGATATCTAATACGTTCATATAGGAATGTAGACAAAATAATAATGTAATGATTGCCGTTGGGCGTCTGCTCAGTCACCATCTCCTCTTCCAACACAGGCAAGTGGAAAGAGAAATAATTATTCAGAGAAATTAACCTTTTCGATTAAAAAGGGGAATGAGGGAGCAACACGCACGCGCTTTTAACAGCTAAACTCATTCTCTTTTCTTCCTTAAAACCACGAACTCTATCTTGTGTCTCTGTTTCAACTTTCACTTTGCATCGTCCTTGATTCCTTCTTTCAGGAGGCTCCCTTTCAAGGTGATATCTTAGCCCTTTGATTTTTCCATTTTAGATGCGAAAGTCTTTTTCTTCTCTTCAGTTTTCCATTCAATATTTAAGTCCTTCTTAAGTCGGGTCAATCTTAATATACACAAATGATCAATCTTATCAATTGGGTTATTTGATCTACTTATATAGATTTGGAAATTTCACTGTGAGTATGTATTAATTTTTTGAAAAGCAAAAGATTATGAAAAAAAAAAGGAGAGGGGATGGAGATTATGAAGGTTTGATTAAGGATTTGAATAACAGGGGAAGCATTTTTAGCGATTGTATTGTAATGGGTCTTCTTATATTTTATAAATTTGAAATCTTTTCTTTTATTTTGTTCTAAACATTGGTTCTCAAGAAATCTTGAAACAAGATTTCTCTGCTTTTTGTTTGTTGAAAGCATTCGGCTTGTGACTATCGGCTTGTGGGTCCCGGAAATTGAAAATTCTTTTTGCTGCGCTAATTTGTTTTCTCAGCATTTATTAATTTTGCTGTCTTCTTCTTCAATTTAGTCATGTGTACATGCCTTTGCTTTTTGATTTGTTGGATTTCAACTGTGGCAATGTTTGCCTAGATCTTGGAGAACTTTATGATTGCAATGATAGTAGAAGTTGGTTAGCGGTCAGCTGTTCTATTTCATCCTTTTTGACCTTATGGATGACTGCTACTAGGTTTTCACAAAAGATTGATCACCTTTTTTCTTCTGTTAGACGTTTGTAATGACATTCATGATTTTTCTTTTTGAGGCATCCAATCTAAACTGATTGTTCTGATGAAGGTGAGATGCAGATGAGATTTCAGCTCTTTGGGACCCGTTAGGGAGTGTCATGGTGACATTAGGAAATTTTTCTATTTCTTTTCCTTCTTAGAGACGTGTAATCAATAAGCTCCGAAACCTCCTGTTAGGCATACAAGGGAGTTTCTGGTCTCATATTTTGTCATTTTTATTTCGAAGTTATTTTTCTGTGATAATTAGGAAAGCATTTACTGTAAAAAGTTGCTTTTAGTGTTATTACCAGTTTTAAAATGCTTTTTGTTCTTAGGTAGACAATGATGGCATGATCCAACTGTGTAGTGTCTGCTAACTTGTATTCCATGGTAGTTTTAAAAAAATATGAATATCTATTCATTTCTTGTCTTGAAGGTGTCTATAATAAATGGCTTTGGTTACAACTGCCGAAGTCTGTGATGCAAATCCACAGCTAATCGTGAATGGTGAACTTCGGGCCCTCCAACCAATATTCCAGATATATGGTCGTCGCCCGGTTTTCTGTGGACCTATAGTTACACTTAAAGTATTTGAAGACAATGTTTTGATCCGTGAGTTTCTTGAGGAGAAGGGTAATGGCAGAGTTCTGGTTGTAGATGGTGGTGGTAGTTTAAGGTGTGCCATACTTGGGGGCAATCCTGTAGTTCAAGCTCAAAATAATGGATGGGCTGGAATAGTTGTTAATGGCTGCATAAGGGATGTTGATGAGATAAATGGTTGTGACATTGGGGTGAGAGCTCTTCATTCTCATCCAATGAAGGCCAATAAGAAGGGAATTGGGGAGAAGCATGTCCCAATAACCGTTGCTGGGACTAGAATCTGTAATGGGGAGTGGCTTTATGCAGACACTGATGGTATCCTCATCTCTAAAACTGAGTTATCTGTTTGAGCATCCTTTTCTTCCTCAAGGTAGAATCTGCAGGATGCCTTTCCAGGCTGGTAAGTTATATATGCCTTTCTGTTATTCTGTTCCTGAGATGAGATTTTATGCATTGGACTAAGTTGTGTAATGTATTATTAATTTGTGATAATGAACATTTGCTGATCACTTTGCGAATCTGCGTAATGCTATTTGTGGTGCCATCGTGAGTAGGAAATGCGAACTGAGGATAGTTAATAATGTCAATCCATTTTTGGCTCTGAACGTTGTTTCAGGGAGAAGATATTTGATTCATGAGCAGAGCATTATGGATCTGTATATTGTGTAGCTTATGAAACATATTGATCTATAAAACGGCTGGTGAAATTCTTTTGTATAAAGTAGTAATGTGTAATTAAACATACAATTATTATTTATTATTATTTGCATAAGAGGTTATTAAAGTGCTTCTTTCTTCTAGAGGACTGAACGACTGAGCATCTGATGTCTACCCCAAATGCAAGACTCTAATGAACTAGTGATAAGACTCCTTTTGGGTTATGATTTTCTTTGTTAACTGGTTGCATTCACATGTCTCTCTGAAGATATGGAGATTGGTGATCGAAATTCCAAATGCTTTGCGAATATTTGACCAAATTGTACCTTCCTGTTGAACGCTCTCTACTGTGGCGTATGGAACCATAGAAATTTGGAGACATAAATTATGTGAAAATTGAACTGAGCAGCCCCCAGCGTACATCACATTTTCTGTTAGGGGAAACACTCTAGTTTCCACAACAATGAATAGAATTGCATGCAGGTACATAGAGAAATGGAAAGGGATGAACTAAGGGGAATTTTGTTACATAAAAAAGCTTCAAAATATGAAAGGGTAATTAGAAAATGCTGAATTTCTTTCTGGCAGCAGAGCCAAGAAAAGAGAGAAAAATAAAATAAGCCGAAATTCTTTAGAGAATGCATTAGAATTCCTACTATTGTTATGAGGATTTTATTATTTCTTGAAGGGAAATTAGCCCTTCAACTTATTAATCTGGTGTTCATCTCCTGTTTACTAGACACATAAAACAGCACAAAAGGAAGATAAAAAAAAAAAAATGAAAGTCCAAGCATGCAAAAGTTATGCATGTCTGTACGAAATAAGATTAAATCATCTTCTTTTACTTTGCAGAATCCTTCGTCCCATGTATCTGCATCAGAAATGAATAGAAAACAAATCATATTATTTTATCAATGTATTCAAAATGACAAATATAGAAACAAATAGTAATAAATATTATCATTACCTTCCGAGCATCATAAGTGTAGCTTGAGGATTAGTCCCAGGAGAGAAATTGAAGGTAGAACCATCTATAACCCTAAGGCTATCCACACCAAAGACCTTGTAATCTCGATCGACAACCTTTCCAACTTGACAGCCTCCATGATAATGCCAAATAGTCCTAACAGTATCTATGCAGAACTGTTCTAAGGAAACTGGCATGCTCGTCCCTGTTATCATGTTTAGAAGATCTTGTGTTGTTGTGTTGCTGTAACGGAATCTCGAGTATGATTTGGAATTCACGACGTTGATGATGGTTTTCATGCCTTGGACGCACTTCCTTAAGTCCTCAGGCGCCTGAAAGTAGTTGAACCTGACCCTTGGGTTGTCACTCACATTTGTGCTTCGAAGCTCAAGGTAGCCCTTTGAGATTGGACCATCAACCTTCTCCACAATATTGGCAAGATTTGTTGGAGAATTAGTTATGGTGTCTCGGAATGCTCTAAAGCTTTCTCCATCCTGAAATTACAACCCAAGTCAAACGGTAGAATCTCTCAAACACATTCGAGTTGATTTAACTTTTTATAAACTAACATTGTGTTAATGAGAGTGTAGCAATGGGTAAAAACCTGATTGAAGTTTGTAGTAAAGTGATTGGTAAGAGTTTGAGCACCAGCAAGGGCAGAATAATCAAACCCACTGGAAGATTCTATATAACTACCAAATTTGGTGATACCCACAATTGCATTGATTGTGAACTCAAGAGGCGTAGGAGAAGGAATTATGAGAGAGTTTAATGGATTATCAGCCATCCCTTGGCCAACCATGGCCTGGTTTAGCACCACCTGGATACCGAGTGGCTCCAGCTGAGGGACGGGCCCAATACCACTTAGCAATAACAATTGTGGACTGCCAATTGCACCTGCTGATAAAATTATCTCACTCGTTGACCCATTTTTCAGTAAAGCCGTGTGCCTTACTGCTTTGTCATCGTAAAAGATAACCCCCTGAGCTTGCGGTCTCGAGCCCTCTGCCATAGCAATATATTTTAATTAAAAAAGAAATGAAAAGTTAGCATTTTGAATGTTGTAATGCCAGCGAAGACGTCTTGATCATATATATGAATACAACAAACTCGTAATTAATTAGGTTACATTTTACAATTTTAAATTTAGTATAAATTGTGTAATAGGATTAATTTTATAAAGACGAGTGTCATGATTATATTTAAATTTTATGAAATTGTAATTGGATTACTAATTTGTTAATAGTGAATTTAAAGTACCTAAATAAAATAGTGAATTTTAAATCCATCTTCTTATATTATTTCAAATACATATGAGTAATACATCTTAACTAGTGTTGATATAATCTTCAAATTCATCCTCTGAACACAGTTTATTTAATACATCAAATTAAATTCACTCTCCATATTTACAAACATAGTACAAATTAAATTTGTGAGATTTTTTTTCAAAAAAATTGAGTAAAATCTAACCTTTTGATCACTAAAAGTTTTCATGATTTTTTATGATATAATACTTTTAAAAGCTCCTAAACTATTTTAAAAAAATTAATTAAGTTATTATTTTTTATTAGGTTTGATCAATTTTTTTTTTATAATTAAGAGAAGAGGGATTCGAATCTTACTCTTTAGGTGAGAGATCGTGCAACAATTAATGAACTAAATGTTTGGGTACGAGTTTAATAAGTTTTTATATTTTTATTTTAGATTAAATAAGCTTTTATAATTAATAATTAACTAATTGTTATTAGTCAAAAAATCATTAGTTATTTTATGTCTACGACCTTGATTATAGGAAGGGTGAAAAATATCAAATGACCATGTTATCATGCCACATCACTATCCATAACATGTTAACATGTCGCATCAACACCATGCGGTATACAATGACAATACTTAGTGAATTATTAGTTATAAGAACTTATTTGATTTAAAATAAAAATATAAATTTTTTTTTAAATTTTTTTAAATAATTCAAAAAAAAAAATTAATGCAATTTGATCACCATCTTTAAGCACTAACTAAATACGTTGATGACATTTGACATAACTCTTTTATTTTTATATGGCCAATGACAGATGAAGCATTCTAATAGAATTTCTAACAGTGTCTAACAGCAACCAACAATTGAAAAAAAATAATATTCATTTTGTTTTAATTTAATTGTCACAATTGACTCTGATAAAAAATTTGAACTTCAAATCTTTATTGTTTTTAATATTTTAAATAATTAAATTTAACAAAATATAAAAAATTACTTCATTAAGAGTTTTTTTAAAATATAATTTTCCATATTTTTATTAATCATAAATACAAAATAATAAGAGGCCAAAGTTTTCAATTTAATTTGTCGAACAAAAATTAAAATGTAGACAAATATTTTGGGACAAATTAAGGAAGTTTTAGTGAATAAATTGTATTTTTTTTAAAAGAAAATGTAGTTGACCAAAAAAGAAAGCACGGAAATTTTTAATGTTGACTGTGCTAACTAAACATTAAAGTTTTCCATTGTGATTGCTTCAGCAAATAAGCTTATAGGATTCTACGAAAAATAACGGATTTAATTACCTTTTCTGGTAAACGTGATCTTGTGCACAACAGCATGTAAATAAACCTTAATCCTCTTAGGATCAGCATACTCAAGCAAATCAGCTGCAGTGTGTCTATTTCCATTTCTATCCAAAATACTTCCAACAGCTTTAGTCCCATTAATGTGATCATATGTAAACCCATTATATGGCAAAACCCCAGCCTCAAGCAGCCCATCTCTCACTGCAGATTGCCACTGCGACACAATTGGCTTGTGCACCAACTTCCTTTCAACCCACCCGTAAGAATCACTTGCTAATGCTTCATCCATTCCATTTTGCTTTAGGAAGAATGTTTCTGCGTGCGAGTAAATCCCTGCGTTAATCACTGTTCCACCGCCAAGCGCGCGTGGTCGATGGTTAGGAACTCCATCCTCGGAGATGAATGCTTCGGAGAATGAATCGGGAGAGTTGTCTGTAACAGTAGACAAAAAGTTCTCTGTTCTTATCTTGGTCGTGTTTAGATATGGAGATCCCCCTCTTTCCAAGACTAGAACGTTTGCATTTCGAGACAGGGTTGCAGCCAATGGACAGCCAGCGGTTCCCCCACCGATGATTATGTAGTCGTAGAATGAAACTGCTGGAGCAGAGGTTGCTTCTTGGATAAAGCTGAAATTAGGAGCTGCAAATGAGATTTTGAGTTAATATTTAATTTTTATTAACCTTTAAAATTTAAATTTCGTATTTGTAATTTTTAAAAATATTTTAAATTTATCCATTTTAACCATCAGTCATTAAAATTCGACGATGTATCAATATCACATGAATATCTATGTGAATGTTCACATAGTAAAAATATGTGGATTCGGACACTTGAATATGTTCGCGAGCTAAAAAGTGAATCCATATGACTTTTTAAATTAAGATTTATATTACATATACCTTACATGATGTTGAGGTAGCATATTTCATTGATTGTTAATGTATTTCAAATCTATCTAGTCTCTACCTCCTAAATACGTATAAAACTATCACAAAAAGAAAAAAAAACCACCTAAGTGTTAAAATGGAGTAAATTCCTCTAATGATTTATGAATTTTATGTACTATTTTATTTTTATTAACATTTAAAATTCAAAATTTTTATTTATAATTTTTAAAAATATTTTAAATTCATTTGTTACAACTATTGTCATTTGTTGCAACTGTTGTCATTAAAATTTGACAAAATTTGTTATTTAAGTATCACGTGGACGTCTACGTGTCAAAAATGAATGAATCCAAAATTTTGGATGTCCACATGAGAAAAAACTGAACTCATTCACCTTTTTGAATTGAGTTTTATGCTATGTGAATGTCTACATGGCATTAAAGTGACATATTTCATTGATTTTTAACTGTGATCAATGAAATAGATGGATTTAAAACACTTTTAGAAAGTCATAAAACAAAAAAATTTAATTTTCAAAATTACAAATAAAAAATTAAATATCACACAAATTAAGATCAGCAAGAATTGATATATTTTATTTGTTATAATAAAAATTCAATTTAAAAATGTCAAAAATAAAACTATAAGAAGAGATTTATAAAATAAAAGAAATTATCTCAAAAGAAAATAAATACTACATATGAACCTAAATCGAAGTCTTCAAAATGAGATGCTTATATAGATAAAAACTAGAGTACCTTTTTCTCCATAGCTGAAGCCATGGAAAGCAAATTCAACTGCAATAACAAGTGCAAGAAACCTCCATGAGGGCCAGGAGTACTTCAAACCCATATTTTTCCTATAACTTGTGCTCCAAAGAGCTCTTGGAACTAAAATCCATCTAAATACAAAAAACTACAAGCTCTCTTATAATAAGGTGTCGATTGCACTTGATCACTATAAGCCTACACTTATATTTTTTGGTATAACAGGTTTAACCTAGACCCTTAGGCTCGGTCAAATATAATTCAAGTTTGGATATAAATTTTTAGGTGTGAGTTCGGCTCAATCATAATATTAATATAAAAATAAATAATATTTTTTATGTTTTATATTGATGTTTACTTTTCAAATGGCATAAAAGTTATATGACTTGGATAGTTTGTTCTTTACTTCACAACTATTAGACTCAAATATAATGTAAAAGCGGAGGGACTCACACCTAAAGCCAAGATATGATTTTACTTTTTCTTTTTTTAGGTTGGTACTCCATAATTCCATATAGAGCGAAATCCTATCCTAGCTAAGCGGGTGCCATGGTATTTCCACCGTGTAGAGTCCCCCCTCTGTTAGGTTTGCAGTTTGCTTGTATGATTTGTTTCTTTTATTTTATTTTTAGGGGTGAGCAAAATTAATACAGATCAATTATTCATTTAAATCAAATGCGAGTTGGGTAAAATAGTTTGATCTAATTAATCTATTAGACCAATTGGCTCAAAATGTTTGATCCAAAATAATTGATATGTTTTATTTGTTATAACAAAAAATCAATTTAAAAATGTCAAACTAAAACTACAAGAAGAGATTTATAAAATAAAAGAAATTATCTCATGGTAACATCAATTCATATATATCATATATGTATGCACAAGAAAATAAATACTACTTATGAACCTAAATCCAAGTTGTTTTCAAAATGAGAGGCTTATATAAATAAAAACTAGAGTACCTTTTTCTCCATAGCTGAAGCCATGGAAAGCAAATTTAACTACAAAAACAAGTGCAAGAAACCTCCATGAGAGCCAGGAGTACTTGAAACCCATATTTTTCCTAGAACTTGTGCTCCAAAGAGCTCTTGGAACTAAAATCCATCTAAATACAAACAACTAGCTCTCTCATAATAACGTGTCAATTGCATTTAATCACTATAAGCCTACACTTATATTTTTTGGTATAATACATGTTCAAGTACTACTTTTTGTCCCACGTCATTAATATATCAATGCATTTTTATTTTGTTTATTAAAAAATCCCAATGGTTTTGCTGATGTGTAGAGGTGTCGAAGGGGATTGGGCTATCAAACCTAGGCCCCTAGGTTCAGCCTAATTTAATTTAAGATTGGATATAAATTTTTAGGTGTGAGTTCGGCTCAATCATAATATTTATAAATAAATAATATTTTTTATGTTTAAATTGATGTTTACTTTTTAAATGACATAAAAGTTACATGAATAGGATATTTTATTTTTGTTCTTTACTTCACAACTATTGCACTCAAAAAATGTAAAAGCTGAGGGATTCACCCAAGCCAAGATATGAATTTACATTTTCCTTTTTAGGTTGGTACTCCATAATTCCATATAAAGCAAAACTCTATCCTCGCGGAATGGTGGTGCGGGGTGCCATGGCTATTACTGTATAAAGTTCGATGCCCCCCCCCCTCTCTAGTTAGGTTTGCAGTTTGCTTGCTTGTTTTGTTTTCCTGTATTTTTTACCAAAATTACACCATGAATACAGTCAGCTTAAGTTAATGGGTGATATGATAAATGCAAAGTTTAACTTTATCATGGATTAACATTGTTTGATATATCAACACCATCTCAATGACACATCAATATCATTAATGGTTAATTTGGATGGAATTAGATGTAGAGACCTAATTGCATAAAATCTCAAAATATAAAGACTAAATTAACTAGTTTTGAAATAGATGGATTAAATTGACGAAAAACTTATAGTATAAGGACCTGTGGGATTCGTTGACTCTTAAATTACATTGAATGCACCATTATATGCTTAGTAGAAAATAGGCATATGTTGCATTAATCCTACACTGCTTTATTGAACAAGTGTAATAGAAATAAAATCAACAGAAGTTAATTTTTATTGCTGATAAGTACCCTAAGGGCACTTCTTAAGGTATTCATGCATTTTAAGTAATTTTTTCATCCAACTTTATTCAATATCATCAATTAAAATAAAAATAAAACTCAAAATACCACTTTACTTGTTTGTAAAACCCTATATTATAAAAATTAATTTAATTTCAAAACTCTTTAAGTCCTATATGATAAATTAAAATCGATAAATTACAAAAAACCGCATTAATTTTTTTTATTTTTTTGTTATAATCAAAGACAGTGGTACAAATGATATGAATACAACGCTATTTGAAATTAGTAATTTAGTTAAAATCTTTGATTTAATTATCTAAGATGTAATCTTTACTACTTAATTTCACCCATATACAAATTAGAAAGGTTATATTGTTTGTTACATTTAGATATGATCAAGAAAATTAGGAGTGAAAGCCTAAACTTTCGTTAAAACGTTTATTATTACCACTTGGCCTTCAGCCAAATAATTTTACTTTGTAGATGGTTCAGTCTACAATGCCATTAATTAGTAGTGGCAGCAAAAGGGAAAAAAACCAATCTTGTTCGGAGAAAAGATAGAAGAAGGAGAAGAAAAATGAAGGGAAATTGATAAATGGTTTGTAGAGAGAGAGAGAAGGGGAGAGGGGAAAGGAGAGAGGAAGAGAAAGGAGTAGTAATGGTAAATGACTTTTTTTGGTCATATACAGATTAGCCTAATGCTGCAAAAGGACTTCAGATCCTCTTTCAGTACTCTTAAATTATGGAGCTCTTTGGCCTCGATCCCTTAGCTTTCCTTAAGATTATTATGGCTGTTTTGCTTCAGCTATGGATAGTTACTTCACTACATGATGCTGGCTGGTTGGAGATATTAGCAACTGCCTACTTCTTATTGGTGTATTTTCAAAATCAAAGGTTATATAACAAAAGCTATCTCACCTCAAAAGTTATGTTATATAAAGTGATATAGTATGACTATTGGATTGTAAGTAGGTTTCACGTGAATGGTTATGTCTTTTGGTAAAATGACATTCAAAGGTTATGAGACAAATTGAAAAAATACCATAGCTCACAAGTTTAAATATGAAAAGTTATTATTTCAAATTATAACTCAAAGATTATGTTTTATAGAATAAATGGTTGTCCTTTATAAGGTGATTATTGAAATAATACCTTTATTCAAAAGTTGTGTCTTGCAAAATGTAAAGATGTCTTTTAAACAAAGTGGTGCCTTAATAAAAGAGTTGTGTCCTTGAAGAAGAAATACTTGTAAGATTATATAAAGGGCTTGTTGTTAACCATTTGACACATCAAATCAAAAACAAAACAAGACAAAAAACATTAAGAGTAAGAAGAGTGTTGTATTTTATTAACTTAAACACTTAAGTTTGCATCAACTAGAAAAACGTCTAAAATCCTTATAATCTACTTGCTGCAGAAAGTAGGCTCTAACTTTTTTCTAAAAGTAGACTCTAACACTGAACAACATTACAAACCCTCGAGTGTATCTAGTGGCATACTCTTGTAAAGTGCAAGAAGAAGTTAGACGTTAGCTTCATGGTATCCTTAAGGTTATTCGCATTATTCTCCTTTGCATAGTAAGTGGTGGGGGTAGAATAATTCTTAAAGATAGCGTCTATTGAAAGCCTTGCCTAGAAGTCAATTTTGTTGATTCCTTAAATTTCATTTAAAGCCCATTTGCATGAACATTTTTAAGACTTATATTCATAGTGTTGGAATTCAAAATGGCTTCACTTAAAGATATGGCTACCAATATTGTCAAGTTAGATCGCTTTAAAGGAGGAAACTTTATTCGATGGTAGAAAAAGATGCATTTCCTCCTTACAACTCTCAATGTCTCTTATGTTTTAGATACACCAAGACTAGATGAAGAAGGTGCTGAAAATCAGTGAATCAAACTCATTTAAGGCGAAAATAGGATAATGATAACTACATACGCATGGGACACATTCTTAATGGAATGTCGAATGCATTGTTCGATGTGTACCAAAATAAAGCTTGTGCAAAACAACTTTGGGACAAATTGAAAGTACGATACATGGCTGAAGATGCAAGTAGCAAGAAATTTCTAGTTAGTTCTTTTCAATAACTATAAAATGGTTGATAATTGTTTTGTTATGGAGTAATTACATGAGCTTGAACGTATCCTAAACAACTTTTAGCAATATGGTCTTAAAATGACAAAGCTGTTGTGGTATCTTCAATAAGTGATAAGCTTCCCCTCTCATGGGAAGACACTAAGGAAACTCTAAAACATAAAAAAGAATAAATGTCTCTCAAGGACCTTGGTAATCATCTTCAAATAGAAGAAGATTATCGCAAACAAGAAAAAGAAAAAGATTCTAATGAAAAGAATCTTGAGACTTTGAAGGTCTATGTGGTGGAACACAAACCATCAAACAAGTTGGCCTCCCATAACAAAAGAAAACATTATGTGGGTATGAATGGAAAAAATCCTAAGATAAAAAAAAAACAAAAAAAGACCATGTTTGCATTGTAATAAGCTTGGACACTTTAAGGTAGAATGTAAACTTTTGAAAAATAAGACGTAAAGCATGAACAACAACAAATTTATGGTTATGTTTTTTAGGCCAATCTTCTCTAAGATGGTGGAGCTTGATGAATTGACACTGGTGCAACTAATTATGTATGCAATGACAAGAGTTTTTTCAAGACTTTGGACGTAGTTAATGATGAAACCATGCTATACATGGGAAATTCCTCCATTACACAAGTGAAAAGAAAAGGTATCGTAGAGCTTATGTTTACTTATGGAAAAATAGTTGTACTACACAATGTCTATTATGTACTGAAAGTTAGAAAGAATCTTGTGTTTAGTGGTTTATTGATTAAGTATGGCTTCAAATTAGTATTTGAAGCAGATAACTTTATCTTTACAAAGGGTGGATAATATGTGAGAAATGGATATTTTTGTGGAAACATGTTCAAACTTAATATTAATAAGAACATTACTAGTTCTACTTATATTGATGCCTCATTTAATGTTCATG